GTGCTCATAAAGTTGTATATCTAATAGTGAAAACATAGATCCAAATCTAGGGTTGCATGCTCACATATGATTGTTTGTATAAAATCCATGAAAATTTTGCTCAACTGTGATGGTATCTAATCAATAATCAAAGGACACACACATTTTTCAGTTTCCTTCATTCTTTCTTTATTATTTTTTTTTTTTGAAAAAGTGTGATATTAATCTAATAAAACTATTCTCAGATGCTATGAGCATACCGGTGATCGCAAGTATTGGTGCAGGAATTGCTCAACATTTCTCACATGTTTTTCAAAAGAAAAATGCCTCAATGCCTGATGCAGGCATTTTTCATAAGAAAGAGGTATTGCAATTTAATTAGTGTTTTACAGAAAATATATAGAACATTGATGGATTAGGATTTACACCTTGGCATTTTTAAGACATTTTTATACCGGGTTTTGACTTTTGATTATATAGGTAGTAAACCATATTTGTAGAATCTTTTAGTTTTTTAGTTGATTCAGTAATTTTTTTTGTGGTTAGTTTAGGTTCAACTTAACTTGATGGCACCTTCAAAAGATAACTATTATGGAATCCAACAAGCTAGTCAGGGACTGATATAGATCATCTCATAATTATGATTTAATTTTCAAAAGTTTAGTAAGTAAAATGTAAGTTTTGTTATTTGTATTGTATTTCTTTTTTATGTTAGCATGAAAGTATGCTTTATAGCACTGTACATTGCATCGGTTTGAAAAAAATAAAACAATATATATCCAAACAGTATGACAGTAAAATGTTGTTCGGTTCATAGAAAAAGTGTTCTACATCCTAAACATATCAAACTAACACAAGTATATTCTCATTTATGCATTATTTTATGATAAATTGGTTGGTTTACCATGTGTGTTATGTTATTTCTGAGATTTTTTTAGTTTGTGTTATTTAAACACCAACCATATGTATCATTTGCTCTTTAAATAGTCAAAGACAATTTACATTTCTTTTTTTATGTTAGCATGATAGTTGGCAGAAATGGTCCCTGTTGTAGAATAGACAACATAAAAAAAATATGCATTTGTTAATTACATATCAGGTCCTAATGTAAGAAACAATTACGTAATTGGTCCTATCGCAGTTAAATGTTAAAAAAAGTCCCTATGAGATTAAATTCTTAAATAAAATGTCCATGTGATAGTTTACTATTACAAAAACTAATTATGTAACAGTTTACTATAACATGGATAATTTCTGTATCAATTTACTGCCATATGGACCATTGTTGTAACAATTTACAACAATGATTTAGAATTGAAGTTTCAAGATATCATGAATTCTCCTTCTATTGATGCGGATTGTAGGAAGATTAATAATTTGGCTGGAAAAAATTGATTGGATTGAACATTCTTTTTGACGATTACAAAAGTTTGATTAGGTGCAAAGGAGACAAAACATGATGAAAGATGAGGTAAATGATGAATGGCTACTCTTTTAAGTTGTTTATTGAGTTGGTTATCATGGGAGAATCGATATGGGGGTAAAAACATTGTCAATATATTATATTTAGTTATAATCTTTTTAGTTGGGGGTACAATAACATAAAATATGTTTGCAAATAATATTTTTGTATATATATAAAACAATTTTTTGGGATTATTGTAATACCGCTAACGCTCCATCTAGCTCTGCTACTGCCCATAAGAGAGCAAAAGAATGGAAGGAGCACTAACATTACACAAAAACTGCATAATTAAAGATAGACTCTAAAAACAGATAAGAATTGGATCAATCTCAATTCTCAAAGATCATTGGGGGTTTATCAATCTGCTGGCTGAATTTCTAGAATCATGGTTCCATTAATTTCTTCATGGGCTACCTGTTCAGGCAGAACAGCGGGATGTGTTGTACTATGCCTCCTTAAAGCTTCAAGCTCAAGTTCAACGGTCCTCAAGCTCAAGGATCCAAGTACCCAAGTGTGTCCTGAACAACAGTGTTGATGTTTATTTATTTATTTATTTTTTTATAGAAAACAACTTGGAAATACCAAAATCAGACAATTTTGCACTGAAGTCATTATCTAATAATATATTTACGGACTTTACATCTCTGTTGATGATGGGGGTGGTGGCATGAGATTGAAGGTATGCAAGTGCAGATGCAGCTTCTACAACAACCCTCAATCGATTCTCCCATGATAACCAACTCGTTCCACCCTCTTCATTATGAATGTGATGGAAAAGTGTGTTATTGGGAATGAACTCATACACCAATACCGGTACCTCCACTTCTAAACAACATCCCAACAGTTTTACGACATTTCCATGGACGATTTTCATTATTACCAATACCTCATTGATAAATTGTTCATTTTTAGTCTTACCCACTGAAACAGACTTCTTTATTGCAACAACGCGTTTATCCGACAATACTCCTTTATAAACAACCTCAAAACCTCCTCGACCAACAGTTTGCTCATTTGAATAGGTATTGATTGCTTTTGGAAGCTGTTTGGTGATATATACAGTCACGGTGTAAGCAACCTTTTGTGAATTCAGTTTTTGTTTGAGCAACACACCATCGTTTTTCTCAAAAAACTTCTCTCGTTGCTTCATAAGTTTCCTCTTCTTGATGCTAAAGAATATCCCAGTGATCCCAGCTAATGACAAAATAATCCCAACCAAATCTACATGAAAAAATATAAGGAAAATGATCAGTTAACCAGATGAATACTAAACATGGGAATGCTTGTAATAATGCCACATTTCCAACAATTACGTATACCACGGAATTATTACAACTTATCTTGCAAATATTGGTTGTTAATCCATGAAATATATGTTTTTTCTTGTAAATGATACTTGGTAAAAGTAAAAAAGAAAAAACAATTTATTTTACGAAAAAAAAAATCTTGAAACAAGTATTTTTTGGATTGAAAACAAAAGTATGTATAATAAATTTGTGGTTAAGATGTTTGACTTTTTGTGGAGAAACACATATTACCTATTACACATTTAAATGTAAATGAATATCTTCAATTTTTACACATAAAAATAGTAAAAAATGGATTCAAGCCCATATTTTTACATGGAAAAAGTAGTCTTGGATAGAGTATAACATAGAACCTATATAAAGCTTAGTCTTTGATAGAGTAGAACATATAACCTATATAAGCTTATCTCAAATCAAATATTTAGAAAAAATTAGTTTCTATACACATTATCAACCAATGGATTTGTCCGATTAAACCCAAATCTTTTATATACATTAGCAAGCCAATGAATTCTTACTTTTTTTATTTGAATATAAAACATTATATAGTGATCTTTGGTGATCTGCATATAGACTAATTAAATTTGACAACGTTACCAAACAATTTTTCTGAACCTAATTTTCTATACATTTGAAAGAAAATGTAAGGCCAATTTCGCAAAATTTTTATATATTTTGGGAAACATGTACACTGAAGAAGCAAAATTCATGAAAAAAATGTTAATTGTATGAAGAAAAAATCATAAAATATGTTACTTTGGGCCACTTTAAAAAAGTAATTTCGAAAAAATAATATATTTTGACAAAATAAATTATCAACTTTGATGCATTGGTCAAAAGGATTTGTGACCGTACACATTTTGACTTGCAATGCTTAATTTATTGTGCCTAATTATATGATGTTAGATTTAAGTATTTAACAAATCATTAATAATAATACTTGTGTGAAGTATACCAACAGAGAATACCACCACTGGAAATTTTGATTGATTAGCAACCGGTCGACAGCCGTATTTTTTATTGACTTCGTCTTCATATTCTTGCAAACATGTACAACTGTAATTCCCGGGACTATTAATGCATCTTCCATAACAAGGGTAGATGCTATTATCCTCGCACTTGTTGATATCTAGCAAACAGAGTTATTCAAGTATTAAAACAAATAGGTACGAAATGTGGCATACACATGGTTTTAAAATGAATGCACATGCTAGTCATATTGTCACGTTAATGTATTTGTTGTATGTGTGTTCATGAACGGCTCAATCATTTTAGGAGCTCTAAGTCACCCAAAAATTTGGGATCTTTTGGCTTTTACTAGACTTGAAAATAAAAAACAAATGAGATGAATATATCGCAGAAAATAGAATCAGTAGAAGAATGCAATGTCGTTTCAGTTTTATAAATACAGCGACAGTTAATTTATTCTTCCGCTTCATTTATTCTATGGTTACCGGATTGAATTTTTTAATGGACTAAATTTTTAGATTTTGAAAAAACATGGGGCCCCTTAAAATTGAGGGACCTAAACCCTAGCTTAAAAAACATCTACATAGAGTCGGCTCTGTGTGTGTTTTGTATCTAATTTCAAAATTAATTGACTAAGACAAAAAGGGTTTACTCATTTATATTTACATATCTCATTTAGACCACTAGAGTAAAAATAATAATGCTAAGTGATTTATCTATATCTTTCACCTTAATTTTCACTAATTTTTTAGATCTAAAAATATATCCCAACTATATTCTTTTTCTTCAGATTTTTATATATTCACTAATACTTTTCAATTTAAACGACTTTTATAGTTTGTCTAAAATCATTTGGTTTTAATAACCCTAAATTTTTTGTTAATAAATAAATATAACAAAACAAATAATTTAAATTAATTTTGATATTAATATAACAAGTATTTTATTAAATAAATAATTTCATTCATAAGCCATCACAAAAAATATTAAAACGCATTTGTAAAAAGTTATACATATATTTAAAGAAATATGACACATACGTTTAGAAAAATTTAACAAAGAAATATTAAAAAATGTTTAAATTTAAAATATATTTGAAACAATTTTTCATATTAAAAATATAATAATAAAATTAAACAAATACTAAATTAATAACTCAAATTTTAAACATGTTAAATAAACTAGATATAAATAAACTTAAACTTGAACAAACAAATATGACAAGTAAAAGTTAAGCTTAATTTATAGATTTATAAATTATGTTCTTTCAAATATAAAGTTTAGTTGTGTTAATATTATATTCGATGTAAAAAATAAAGTGGAATCGAAGAACAATTATATATATATATATATATATATATATATATATATATATATATATATATATATATATATATATATATATATATATATATATATATATTTCATATTTTTCTTTAACATAAAATATTGAAATTTTTTATAAATAAAGTGGAAATGAGATTGCTTTTTAATTGAAAAATAATTGTAAATTATTAGTACGGTACAAGCACTGATGTTTTGAAAATAAGACTAGACTAATAGAGTTAATAGAGTTCAACTGTTTTCAATCGATATGGGTCTATCCTTCAACTTAAAACCCAATGGTTTATAATTAAGTTAAAATAAGCCATTTCACTCGAAAACATATTCAAATCAGCCAAGTGGAATGTTGTAAACCAAACTTAATAAAACAAAATATCCAAAAACAAATAAAACCTTATTTTGAATTGGATCTTTAATGCAAAAGACAGCCTAAGTTTATAATTAATGGACCAAAGCCTAAATATAACCTAAGAAGGTCTCCCCATCTTGCTTTTAATAAGCATAACTTTATTGGGTATAATCTTGATGTGGAAATTTGAATAAATAAGTATTTATGGTCTTTACATTTTATGCTTTAATTTATTATCTAGAAATGGTACGCTACTTTGACCAAATTGTTTAGAGTTGAAAGAATGGGTGATTAGTTGTACTAGTCTTAGGTAGAGTAGTTAGTATGGCTATTTTCATGCATCACGTAGGTGTTTTAAAAGCCTATATATAGCCCTTCATAATTCTTAAATATGAAAAAAGGAGAGTTTCTTTTGTCATTACTTTTCTATACAATCCATACTTAATTCATTTGTGCAAAAACTTTTTTTCTCCTATACTTAATTCATTTGTGCAAAAACTTTTTTTCTCCTTAATGTCATCACATCGAGTAATAAACAAACACAAGTGTTATTCTTAGTGTAAGTTTTGAGGGTCCATAATCTACAAACTCTACTCTCAACACTTTTGATGTGGGATGGGCCATAAATTAAATTATACTCTACTTCTCTCCTTAGGTGTTTTATTAATAAGTATTTTATATCTATCATCTTTGTAGAAAAATAAGTTTTAAAAGCTAACTTTGGACTAATACAATGAGAGCATCTATCTACTCAGGGTTTTGGGACCAGTTTGTGTCAAATATAATTTTTATCGGAAATGATTTCGTTCTAAATACGAAACTTACCTTGGCAGCCATTATGAAGATAAGGATTGCCCTGGTAACCTTTATTGCAGCTGCGGCGATATCCACCAAGATCTTCATCGTCCATGCAGAACCTATTTGCCTTGCATTCTGTAGCCTGTGAGCAATTCCGCTTGCCTCCTCCAATTACCCAATCCACCAGGATGTGGACATGTGAATCTAAAGAAAGCTTTGAATCACTATACAAATCACGTGCACCACCAAAGCGAAAGTGGTTTTCCTCAGCAAGAAATGCAAAACCACAAGGATTGAACGACCATACATTCATACGGTTAAAGGAGCCAATATTTACATTGAAACCCTTGAGAGACCCTTTTGTATTGATGTCTGTCAACACGTCAACCCAATTCCAGAGCAGTTACCATTAATGTTAGGCACATTACTTACGTTAGTACATATGCCCATACAGCCACTAGCGTAGTTGGGTCCATGCGGTCCTCTGATCCAAGCATAGTTATTGCATCCAACGATAGTAAACTTGTTTTTAGACGAAAAAGAGAAAGGGCCCACCTCATTGAATGCCATACCTGAATTACCACTAGTATCGTTCACAGATTTGTTGTAGCAAGAGCCAGCAACAGAATTGAAAATGCTGATCTTGAAAATGCTGAATTACCCAGAAGTTGACAAGATAGTGTTAGCTAGATGGGAGAAAATAACAATCCCGTTACATTGTTTGGGGTTTGCATTAACTCCAAGATTTTATGATAGACAATATCTTCAAAAGTTAGCACCGGAGGTATTCCAAGGAAAACTCCAAATCTAGATAAAGAGATTGTGATTGGTGTCATGAAAGCATTCCATAGAATGTACGAAAATGAAGAGGAGGAACGAGAACAATTCGCAACATTCCATATGAAAAAAGGAATCTGTTCCATGGTGGCAACACAAACGGATGCCGTGACAATGGATGCAATAGATTGGCGGTCAACATATGGAGCCGAAACCCCGGAATTAGCCGTGATAGCAAAGAAGGTACTTTCCCAACCGATTAGTAGCTCTTTGGCGGAAAGAAATTGGAGTACCTATTCTTACATTCACAATGTGAAAAGAAATAGGTTAAATTGCAAAAGAGCCGACAAATTGGTTTTCATTCACTCCAATATTCGACTCTTATCTGGTTTCTCGGATTTATATAGAGCGGGCCCATACAAAAAGTGGGACATGAATCCCGAAAACACTTACATTGAAGGCTCAAGTTTACGATTAGAAAAATGCTTTGGGAGAATTTAGATGAAGACATGGAGAATGGGCAAGGAAAAAGACAACGCGTAGATTGAAGAAAACTTTTCTGTTAAATTGTTTTTTTGGGAATTCTAGTTTTTGGTTTTTAGTGTTGGAAACTTGGAATCTGTTTTGATGTGGTGCTGGAAAATTGTTTTGATATATTGAAGTTTTAATTTATTACTTAACTGGTTTTTAAAGTAATTTTGTTGAGAAATATTAGAATTCTGCTTTTTGTTTTCCTGTTAATGTTTTTTGAAGTAAAATATGGCTGGAACTTTTGTATTAACCATGGGTACATCGTACCGAAATACACGATACACCGTATCAGGATGTACCGAAATGAACCCACCCCCGCCGTATCCGATACGTCCTTACGCTCGTTCTCGATCCTCGTTCCCGTACCGCAAACTATGTGACTATGGTGCAGATGCAGCTTCTGCAGCAACCCTCAATCGATTCTCTCATGATAACCAACTCGTTCCACCTTCTTTATTATGAATGTGATGGAAAAGTGTGTTATTGGGAATGAACTCATACACTAATACCGGTACCTCCTCTTCCAAACAACAGCCCAATAGTTTAACGACATTTCCTTGGATGATTTTCGTTATTACCAATACCTCATTGATGAATTGTTCCTTTTCGATCTTACCCACTGAAAGAGACTTCTTTATTGCAACAACGTGTTTATCCGACAATACTCCTTTACAAACAATCCCAAAACCTCCTCGCCCCACAATTCGCTCATTTTAATAGTTATTGGTTGCTTTTCGAAGCTGTTCGGTGCTATATATAGTCACAGTGTAAGCAACCTCTTGTTAATTCAGTTTTTGTTTGAGCAACACACCACCATTTTGCTCAAAAAAACTTATCTCGTAGCTTCATAAGTTTGCTCTTCTTGATGCTAAAGAATATCCCAATGATCCAAGCTAATGTCAACATAACCCCAATCAAAGCTACATGGAAAAATATAACGAAAATGATCGGTTAACCGGATGAATACTAAACATGGGAACGTCATTTGCAATAAAGCCACCTTTCCAGCAATCACGTATACCACAAAATTCTTACAGCTTATCTTGCCCATTCTCCATGTCTTCTTGAAAATGATACTTCATAAAAAAAGAAAAAAAAAAGTAATTCGTTTTGCAAAATAATAAAAAGAAATAAGTATTTTTTGGATTGAAAACAAAAGTAGGTACAATAAATTTTTAGTTAAGCTGTTTGCCTTTTTGAAGAGAAACACACATTACCTTTTAACACATCTAAATGTAAATGAATATTAGAAATTTTTACACATAAAAATAGTCACGGATGGGTTCAAACGCAGAGTTTTACTCGGAAAAAGTAGTCTAGTCTTGGATATAGTAGAACATAGAACCTATATAAACTTATCTTCATTTACAATCAAACTTAAATAAAATATTTATAAAAAATTAGTTTCTATACACATTAGCAACCAACGAATTTGTCCAATTAAACCCAATTCTTTTATATACATTAGCAAGTCAACGAATTCTTACTTTCTTATTTAAAAAAAACGTTATATAGTGATATTTTGTGATCTGTTTATAGTCTAATTAAATCGGACATCTTGACCAACCAATTTCTGAACCTAATTTTCTATACATTTGAAAGAAAATATAAGGCAAATTTCGCAAAATTTTTACTTCCTCCGTCCCAAATTGATAGTCCACTTTTGACTTTTTAAGTCTTTTTTCTTTAACTTTGACCTTAAATATTTTTATTTGTTTTATATATTACTTGATAAAACTTATAACAATGAAAAAACATTTGAAATACAATTCATTCATATATTTTGCATCAAGTATTATCATAAAACATGTTAGTTTCTGCAAAATTCATGAAAAAATGTTAACTGTATGAAGAAAAAAAATCATAAAATATGTTAGTTTCTACCACTTGAAAAAAGTAATTTTGAAAAAATAATATATTTTGACAAAATAAATTATCAACTTTGTTGCATTGCTTAAAAGGATTGGTGACCTAGGTCATTGAATCCATTTCAATCTAACATACAAACATGAAATCCCCAATTTGAATTTTTAGGGTTTATGAGGATTTTCACCCAAATCCTCAAATCCATCAATAAGATGATTGGATTGAGGTTGGGATCATGAAAACAACTCAAGGGAGGTTAGAAAACAAAACTCTAATCAATAAATTACACTAATTTAGAAATTGGGGTTTTCCTAAACCTTTAATTCAAAGTATAGGCGTAGAAGAGAAGACATTATACCTAGCAAGCTTTTGATTCTTCTTTCCTTTGCATGAATGCTTAAATCACCTCTTGAATCAAAACATAGAGGTTGAAGAAGATGGAAAAGCTATTGGAGCTCCTTCTTAGCTTGAAAAACAATTAGAACGAGGGGAAGGTGAATACACCTTATTTTCAAAAAGTTTACCATTTAGTCCCTCAACTTTGCTTATTTTTTCAATTTCAACCCTAAACTCATATTTTGTGATTTTAACTTAAGTTTTGACATAATAAGTCCTCCTTCATCCATTATATAACTTTTCTAGTCCATCCCATTAATTGAATCAACCCTTTGGTCAAACTCACTTTGCCAACTAGACACGTTTGGTCCTTTAACTTTCAAAATGTTATTATTTTCCACTTTTAACTTTTAAAAATCATATCAATTAATGTTATGATTAACCTATAATGATTTAATTATATAAATAATCATTTATTTACTTTATTAATATAAGAACTTAATCTTAAATTTTATGATGGTTCAACCAACCATTAACACTATCTTTTACACTAAAACCTATAATTATAGTGTAAAAGATAGCTTTAACACTAAACCTTTCAAACCCATTAAACTATAATTAATACTAATAATAGTATTCTAAGTATATTCCTATCTATCTAGTTTTTATAATTTTACAAAAACAGCCCATATATTTATTAGGATTTTACAAACTCGATCATTTATATTTTTTATACTACTAGGATTATACTATATATGGTTAATTCATTATATGTTGTATATAATCTTATATTGCATTTTAAATTATTAAATATAATAACATAGATAAAAAAAATATTAAATATAAACTATAATTATATAATTAAAAAAAAACTAAATGTATGTAAGTTCAAACTTCATTGACTAATATGTATTATCCAAAATTTAACACTAAATATAATATTGATAAATTGTATAACATTATATTTGGTGTTACACCATTCACCAACACTAGATATAGTGTTAAGTTTAGTGTAATGTTAAAGCATTATAGTGTCAAATGTGATTAAGTATATGTTTTAATGTTGGGTTGGAGATGCTCTTAGTGGTGTGGATTATTGTGTATTAGGTCTCCTTAATTCCATCAAAATTGGAATGACATCTTTTTGGGTGAAATCTAGTTTTTTTTGGGTGTCGATACATGATTCGCTTAAAGATCCGTGAAATGCCTCTTACCATTTTTGCTAGCATGAGGTCTTCTTTGGATTGAAATGAAAGGTCATTACATGAAGGTTCACATTGACTACCGTAAAAAAATACTAATAAATTTGAATCTGTAATTTTTCTTAATAAATAAAGAAATTTTTGCCACATGTCTTCTTCTCCTTCATTTGGACACATGATATTTTCTAGAATTTTTGAATTTTTTATTTTCCATTTGTCATTTTATTGTATTTTTTATTTTATTAAATTAAAATTCCACATTTAATATGTAAGTTAATAAGGTAATATATATATATATATATATATATATATATATATATATATATATATATATATAAAAGATATTTATTAGAAAGAGTTTATATATATAATGTATTCAAGACATTAAAGCCTCATTAATTTTAATAATTCAAAAATTCTCATTTTTCTTATAAATTAAACTTTTAAAATTGTTAAAATTTCAAATATTTTTTTTAAAATAACTTCATATAATACATGGATCTCACACCTATTATTAGATGAAATGAGAGATAATGGGGAAATGGAACCTCATAAGGATAGTAGCAGGCCTATGAGCTTTCTTTTCTTAGTTTCTTATGTTTTGAATTTCTGTAATAAAAAACAGGGTTCGAGATATAACACTCATAGCCATAAAGCCATTTTATTTCACCAATACTGTTTTCAATTCCATTATAA